TCAGTTTGTAATATTCTTTTTAAAGCCTTGTTTTCCACAAGGGGTATTTCTGGTAAGAATATTGTGAACCGATGGCTGAGGAAGAGCAAAAGCATGCTTGTTTTCAGTTAATCTTAGGATTTGCAGGGCCCTAGGCCATGTTCCCCTGAATTGTTTGCTCAAAACATTAGCCCTGTGGAATTTAATGGAGTTTGCACCTGCGCTAAGTTCCCTGGCCCTTGTCCGACCAACGGTTCCGCATTCATGCTTCCATTCAACAGTGCATAAGCATGTTCAGCAATCAGGCCTTGATCCCCCAAGCTAAAGATACTTTTTAACAAAGCTTTTTCCAACAGTTCAGCATAACTGCAAGAAGCTGCTGTAGTTCTCAAACTTCTTTTTTCTCTTTTGTTTTATTTACTTAAACTGTACACAAATGCAAAATACTCGGACAGCAAATGTAAGTGAATGTTGTTTGGTATTTAAATTACTATGGAACAGAACCTACAAGGGACTTTATTAAATAAACAACAATTTGGGGTGTTTTTTTTCCTCCTCCTCCTCCTCCTCCTCCTCCTCCTCCTCCTCCTTCTTCTTTAAACAATGCATGTCTTGGAATGTCTCCAACATAGGAGGGCATAGAGAAGGTACTGATCCAATGACAATGGAATCTATTTTGTACCCTGAAAAGAAACTGACAGGCCTTAGTGTTCAGTATTGCTGTGTGACTGGTAGATACTGCGGCCTTGCCATCTGATAAAAATTATAAAGTTATTGGCCTCTTTGGTTCCAAACTTTTCAGTATAATATATTTTCATTGTATCCAGTATTTTTTGCTGGTATAAAAATAACCTTCCCCCCCACCCCCACCCCAAAGGATAGTTTCTCCTGTCTAAGTCATGCAACTACATCAGTGCAAACATGAAAACCAATCACTCGCTTTTAAAAAAAGAAGCAAAAGATTTAATTTCAAGTATAAAAAAAATATAAAAAGTACCGTCTCATTTCAGTCCAGTTTCATCTCGTTTGGGTTGACACTTTTAAATTGCATAGCTCATGCGGCACTTGTTTTTAAATCTAGAGAACAGTGAGCAAAAGGAAGTGCACCATCAAGTACCAACCAGTCAAGGCATTGAAATCTGCAAGTGCTATAGGAACGTGCATTCAAGCAGGTTGCGAGTGCTGTAGTGGAGCATGGATTTCTGAGCTCTGCAGCCACCCTTGATATGGAAGTATTTGGAAACCAAACTAAAGGTAAATACCCTCTACTTGTGCATTCTCTCTCTCTCTCTCTCCCTCTCTCTCTTTCCCCTCTACAGGATGTACTAAACATTCTCACCGTTTCAAACACTGCGCGCTACTCCTTTCCCCAAATATATCCACTATGCGATTGAGATTTCTCTTATGGCTCATAAGTTTACTTGTGCTAACACTGGCTTCTCTTTCCTTCTGTCCTCTCCAGCTGTTCCCATTGTCATCTTACTGTTACTCCAAGCATGGAACTTTAACTCCAGGTTTTGATGTTGCAAATCTTTTTGTGAATGTAGTACGGACCATGAGCAAAACTAGAACAGGAAGGGCCAAGTCCTTTTTTTTTTTTTTGACAACATAACAGGGATAATTGTCCACGTGGATGGCATGTCCAATAAAGCATAAAATCATGCTGATCTATCATTCAGAAGAATACAGCTACCATTTCCGATATTAATCCCATGGTACTGTTTCTCCCTCTCTCTCTCTCTCTTGCACACACAAGCATGCATACATACATACATATAGTTAAGAGAGAGACTGGTTTCATTAGTGTGTTCTCTCCAGGAAGTGCTATATGCATATCTTACACTTCCCAACAGGACGAAGGACTTATCTTGCACAGAGCAGGTAACCTGCTGCTTCGATTTAGACCTTAGAAATGATGGTAGTTGGTTGCTTGTTTGGTCACTGAAATGCTTGTCTGTTGAGCATGTAGGATTTGTTTTTTTTTAAAAACCATTTCATTTCATAGGGCTGGCTGAGACAGAGAAAAAAATCTACTGGTCTGTATGCATATATCACCAGCAGACATTGAACTCCTTTACATAATGCCTTCCTCCAAACTGGATCACACAGTGTGTGCGTTCATGTCGTTGTGTGTATGTGTATATAAGAGTATGTGTAAATATGTGTGTATGTACGTGTATGTACGTGTACACACACACACACACACACACACACTTGTGTCTTTGGGTATATAGGTAGGATTAAGTAACTTGAAAGCATTAGTTTATATGTGGTAGCATACTTTTAGTGTCCAGGATGCATTGACTGCCACTGTCCTGACAACAGAGTGCAATTGATATATATTTATATGTATTTTCAGTGCTATTGCTGCCTTTGCCACTGTTGCCTCTGCAGTAGGGTTTAAACATCCATGCCCAGAAGGAAGAAAAAGAGCAGTAGTGCATCTAAATCCATTCAGTAGGGGAATCTTCTCACTCTCCCCTCACCTTCCCTGCCCCCACCCTCGCTCCTTTCTAACACCCTTCTCCAGATCAGGCACAGCCACATTCTTCCACAATCATATTGGGAACGTCCCTCTTCACGATGTTGTATTCATCATCAAAGTACAGCATGGATATTGTGCTAAGTTTGGTTGGAATGCAGCAGGAGTTCACGGTGCCTGGGTTCAACCCTCGCATGCGGTACTGATTCACGACTGCTGTGTGAAAAGAGGAAGCTGAGCCCGGGACTCCAGCCAAATAGGCTGGGCAGCTCCCTTCACAGTAATTCCCATAGTAACCCGCTGGTGCTATGATCCAGTCAGTCCATCCGATGATCTTAAAGTCAATGTAAAACTCTTGCCTGCAGCATAAATTGGTCCGGCCATCGCATTCCAGACCTCTTTTCCGAATCCTGTGCTTGTTGTCAGCCAATCGGGCTTGCACCACTAAAAAAGGCCGGTGGGATTCATCCCCAGAATCCACATAAATTGGCAGCACTGAATACTCTTCACAGCCTTCACACTGAATGTCCAAACTCAATCTTCTCTCTCCTTTCTCAAACAGAGCTTGGATTGCTTCTGTCATAGGAAATGTGTGCCAACCACTTCTTTTGAGATCAACTTTCTTTTCAACCACATTCCACTTGTTGCTGGTGTCCGAGTCTTGGAAATACACTTTGACTCTTACTTTTCGCCGGCTGCCTTTCTCCAAGACGTAGGGAAGCAGCTTCAAGTAAAGCCACAAACTGGCTTGCACCACAAACAGATTCTGATTGCCTTCATTAGAAATGAAGAAATAGAGGCGCATTCTAGAGGATGACAGGTCATCTGGAAAATAATGGAAGGGGGAGAAAAACATTAATGTTTTTTAATGCTTGATGTTTGCGTTAGGTTTTCTGAAGGAAAAGAAAAAGAAAACGAATCGTAGATCAAAATAAATGCATAATATTAGTAAGTGCCACAAACAATATACATAAATGGCTAAACTGAAAAGAGGGAGGGGAAAATATACACCATCAGCTATAGATTGCAAAGTAGTTCAGTGGCTGAATCAGTACTAGAAAGCCATTATAAAGTAAATTCCCAGAGAGAAACTAATAAGGGTATATAAGGAGAGGGGGTGGGGAAGCCAGATCCTTAGAAATCAGTGTATAAGCAATTAAGTTCAGATAGATGGAAAGTCATGAAAGAAACTCAGAGCACCTGGATAAGTGCTAATTGGTTTTTTTTAAAGTGTTGGCCTGGCACAGGCACCCCTCCTGTATAATCTTCCCAGAAAGCACAAATTGTTAACAATCAGGGAACAGTTTTTTTTTCCTTCGGGGAAAGGATTTGGTTACAATTTAGATGCACTGTAAACTCACCCAGTAGCTCTATAATTCTTGGGAAATGCGAGGACTTGCTGAATTTGTCCACTTGACCAAAGCAAATTCTTACTGGGATTGTAAAAGTGTCTGATTTTGATTGTTCCAGATTGCAAATAGAAGCATGTTCCTTTGTATAATAATATTAAGACATAAAAGTGTCAAGAGAAAACCTTCTAGCACAACTATCTCCTTGACATTTTAGCTTTTAGAGGGCTGGGGTGAGGCGAGTTATTATTCAGTAATATGAGCCTTACCTACCAGTAGCTCAAAGGGTTTACATTAGTAATAGCTGAAATGACAGGACAGTTGCATTTGTCATCATTGTGCCCAAAGATATATCTTCTCCTGCCACCTTAAATTCTCTTTTGCACCATTCTTAAAGGTACAGGATGCCTGTCTTATTTATTTACTTGGCATCTGGACACTTAAAGAGAACAAGTCCTCTTGTACTCCTTGCAGCTCTTTCGTTTAACTAAAGGATGAACTTTAGACATTAATCGTTTATAAGTCCCACACCATTTTTTCTGGGTATTAAGCAAGTTTTCACTGCAGCCAATGGGTGACAGATCTGCACTTAGTCATACTTAGAGTAGTTCTTGAAATCAATCCGAGTTAACTTAGTCAAGACTAATCAAGTCCCATTGATGTCAGTGAAATTAATTCTGTATCCAACATAACGCCATTGCTGTTTTCTTTTCTTTGAGATTAAAGCAGGAAAGCAGATGCCATGAGCAACTGGTTGCTGCCTTCTGGTTCATATTTATAATATGGACACTAAATGGAACAAGCTGGCACCAAATCTATTACCCAAACACCTCTGACCTAGAAATCCTAGGCACATCTATGTGAAACTCAGCAGGTCTACCTTTGAGTAAATATGCACAGGATCACACAGCTCCAAAGTTTATTCAATATTCTTCATTCTGCTTCAATTCATTCCAATCCAATTCTACATTGTTCAGTATGTTGAAAAGAAAAGCCCTAGTGCCTGGCATTGTCAAGCCAAATTGCAAATCTTTATATTTTAGACCTAGTTCTTGCAATGACACAGGATAATGTATGGGATGGATATATTTTCTTAGTCTATACTTTGCAGGAACATGATGAAGAAAATATCCTACAGTGTGTTGAATGTGTATTTATCATAAAGCTGTAGTTCCAACACAGGCAAACAGCACCAAACCTTTAAAGGTAACAATAACATGCCATGATAAACAGGTTAAAAATTATAATTCCACTAGAGAAAAAAGACTAAATTTTAATAGTTTAATCCTTCTCTTATTTTACTCACCCAGGTAATGAATGTATTCACTTATCCCTCTATCTCTTCCTGCCCTGTATGTATTATAATGATTTTCAACCTTTTTATCTTAAAAGAACCCTTTTTACAATGCCTGCTCTTCTGAGGAACTCTTGAACTTTTGGTATGAATACAACACTGTTGCAATTAATTTAGAAGCACATGTCATAATCACACTCAGCTCATACACAGGACTCTGTTAGTCATTGCTTACTTAGAACTCGCTTAATATTCATGTATATATATCTGGAAAGGAAAGCTTGTTTATCATCTTTTCATTGACAAGTTCCTTAACTTCTAAGGAATAGCGTACTTGATAATGGTATTTACACTGGTGGTTTTCCTAGTTGGCAGCTGTAGAATACAGAAATGTTCACATAAACTATCAGAGAAAGGTGGGTTAGACAGACAGATATGGTTTATGAAGAACAGTAAGAAAATCTCACTTGGATATGCAAGAAGGTAACTTCAGCAAATTGGAGCAGCTAAACTGGAGATGTGGGATAGACATGGTGCTATTAAAATAGAAGGATCAACAGAATCATAGAGAAGTACAGAAGTAGGAGAAAAGGGTGGACATTACACCAGAGAAAGAAACACAAGATGAGGCGATATTGTTGTGACTGGGGAAATGAGAAGAGGAAAATGGATTAAATGCTATCACAAATGCAATATTAATAGGTGAGAATACAGGGTAATAACAGATAATTTTTACTCATTCATAACTTTATACTCTGATACACAAGTAGATGCGTATGGAATAGGAAGTAGAAAATCTTGCAGAATAAAGGATGCATACAAAAATGATGTGGATGGAATCACCAAAGGTGTATGCGGTATGTATGTATGTATGTATGTATCTATGTGAGGAAAATAAGAGGTCAGTGAGTGGATGGATACCCAGAAGACCCTGTCTGAGGCTGAAGAAGAAGAGGGAGCAGGAGAAACTCAAGTGCTAGGCAGGTTGAAAGTTAGCTAAAAAGTTAGAAAGGTTACTGAGCAAATTAAGTCAATAAAATAGAGCAAGTTCCATTTTACTAGTTGACAGCAGGCACAACAGGAGAAGAATCTATGGCCAGGAAGGCGGGTGGGGCAGGGGGACGTTTGAAGGATGAGAATGGATTCAGGACAGATATTCTTTATGACACAAGATTAAAAACAAAAAACCAGGATATGGAACATTCAGTGGTATATAGAAAAGAACCAATGCATAGCAGAAGAAATTGTGATTGGGTTCTGCATGGTAAAAGATTTATTCTATGCCATGAGGACAGCACAGGTTTCTGACAGTAGCCCTTATAAACCTATAGCCTGTGGGGGGGAAATATGACAAAGTGACCTGATCAGCAGAGCCTGGAGGACGGGTGGTAAATAGACGGGATTTTTGCAGTAGGCAAGATAACAGAAGGTTAAGGTACACACCTTACCTACATACCCATTTAAATGGAGCAAGTACTGCAAATAAACAGAGGATCAAACTTAAGCAAGGGGACAGAAACCACGGGTGGAGAGGGAATGGAGGGGTGCGGAACACCTGGGTGCAGAGGGTAGATCAGAGCGGAGCAGGAGTTACAAAGGTGCGACAAGAACTTAGCCCACATGCTGAAGAAATAAAGACGGGTGTGGCAGCAGTCGGAAACGGGGAAGTGAGGGAGCGCAAAGCAGAAGGATGGGGTTGCATGGATGGGCCGAGCCAGGACGGCACCGGTGTGGAGGAAATGCACAGGATGGGAAGACGGGGTCCCCGCAAGGGAGAAGCAGCAGCAGGAAGCAGGCGGAGGAAAGACCGGCGGCCCCCAGAGGGAAGCGGTGGGATTGCAGGATTACTTGGGGGGGGGGGGAGACGAGATGCTCGGACCGACGTTCCGTGGCGGAGGCGACGGATGCTCGGGGCCAAGAGGGCGAAGCGGGAAGGTGCATGGGGGGGATGCACGGGCGGTCCACCCACCTGTCTCGGCGAAGCTGATGATCTCGGAGACCTGCTGGTGGGCCGCGGGCCCCCCATTCGCCTGCCCGTCCAGGTTGGGGATCTCGACGCGCCCGTCCTCGCGCAACTTGCCGGCGTGCAGCTTGCGCAGCGCGGTGACCAGAGCCGCCTTGGGCACGGCGTGGGTGATGTTGGGCCGGTCGCGCATCTGCAGGCGGTTCAGAATATGCCTCTTGATGGCCTCCAGGAAATCGCCGTCCACTTCGCCGGGCTCTTCGGGTGGTCGGCGGAAGCCGCAGGAGGTGCAAGTGTCCAGGGGTGTTGCCCCGGGAGGCGTCGGCGAAGCTCCGGCGCTAAGCATCAGCCAGCACGCTTCCGCCAGCAGAAGCAGAAGCGAGGCGGTCAGGGGCCCCTTCCGATCCGCCCCGTCCATGCCGATCACCGTGTAGTTCCGCCGGGAGGTTGCGAGGTAAGCCAGGGAGCCGGCCGGATCGGACGCGCGGAGCTCAGGGCGGTCGGTAGAGCGACAGGCAAGCCCCAACAGAAGAGTGCCAAGCGGAGCGAAGGCACGATCTGGGCGAGAACGGCGTCCGAATCGGCGAGGGGACACCGGGCCAGACGAAGGAACTCCAGCGGAGAGGTTGCGAGGTGAAGGAGAAGGATTGATCGGGAAAGCTTCTTTCCCCCAGGGCAGTCGGAGTCCGCCCGCGGCCTCACTCGGTCACTTGCCAGCGGGTAGCTTCAAAGCAGCCAACTCCTCTGTCATGATGTCAGTGGTTTGCCTTCAGGCAGGCAGCGTCCAGCCAAAAGCTGGCAGGAGGTGGAGAGAGAGCGCTCTTTTTTAGCCAAGAGTCATCGGGGGGCCAAAGGGGAGGGGGAAGACGGGGTGGCGTGGAGGATCCACGAGGCAGATTTGAGACTCAATCCAATTTATAACGACGGGCTGCAGGACACTCCAATCAACGATGCCTTCCTATCTTTCGCCACACGAGGAGGCGGTCGGCTGAGGGGGAAGCTCGCCAAATCCAATCCACCAAGCCGGTCCCTTGATACGCTCTGCAGCTGTCCTCTTTTTTTTTTCTTTTTTTTTGCGCGGTGGGCGCGCTCTCTGCTCTGCGCCTTGGGTCGCTCCTCTCTGACAAAGCCGGTGAACCTGAAAGCAGAGAAGTGCAGGCAAGTAGGGAGAGAGGAAAGATCCTGAAAAGATCCGGTCAGTTGCAAACAAACAATTTCTTTCTTTCTTTAGCAGCTGCTCCTTTCTCCCGAACGGATTTCTCTTCTGGATCAAATTAGGGGCTACAGTCCAGCCGATGGGTCCCTTTCCTGGGAGTCCCGCGAATAATTCAGCTTTCCAAGTTAAAAAACGCGGTTGGAAACAAGCGACATCAAAGAAAGCCGCGGGAGGAAAAAAGCTCCCGAAGTAACTTGAAGAAATCTAGCCGGTGGGTCCTGCTTGAAGCTGCTCGCTCACTCGAGGCTCTCCTTCGCCTCGAGCAATCCTGTCCCGGTTAGTATTTGGCACCAAGACTTCTTATGAGTAAGCGCAGTCTGCCAGCGCTGCCTCCCTCTGCCAGTTGATCTTTGCTTGTGCCTCGTATTTTAATTTCTCTCTCTCTCTCTCCCTCTCTCTAGCTCGCTCACTCGCTTCCGCTCCTGAACCTGACGTTCCGCCCCCGCTCTCCAAGCAAAAGGTCTCGGTTGGAAAAGCGCTTCTCTCCCCCCCCCCTCCGCTTCTTCCTTCCCCCTCCCCTTCCTTCCTTCACCTGCCAAATCGCAACGTTGAGCCACTTTTCTTTCGAAAACGTTTGTACGGATTGCTGCAAGTTCCTGATGCGGAAATAATACTCGTTTCTTGAACGAATTCTATCCCTAATTTCCTCCCTGACATGTGCGTTCTCGCACACGCAAGTGTAGCAAAAGTTGGCGATTAAAAGGGTATCCCTCGCCGGTCTACGAGCAATAACGTTAGTTGCAATGCAATAAACTGCCAATCTGCCAGCCTGTTTGGGAAGACAGTTGCAGATGAGAGTTTGTGCAAGAGAGGGCTTTAAGACAAAGTGCCTATAGAGATTCTCAATCATCCAGGTCATGGTTATCCCAAAAGTGCTTTTCAAAAGGCAATTGTACTTTCTTGGGGGGGGGGTCTCTTTCTTGAAAACTTTTCACTTCTAAACCAACTGAAGAAGCTTCTTGGATGAGAAGCAAAACCTTTTTAAGGGAAAAAAATACACCCAATTCCACTTGTATTTTGAAAAGCACCTTTGGATTAGACAAAGTGCACAGCTTTCTCCTCCAGGTCTTGCCTATCATGTGGTGATGACAGCAGTAGAAAAATGCTGGATTGTTGTAGGAAATAAATAAATAAACTGCCCAGACAAAGTGTGACTCCTGCATCACTTGGAGAAGTGACATGCAACTATATCCACAGTATGTTTCACAAGCATAACATTCCTTGCTTGCGAGAAACTGCATACTAAAAGAAATTTGAACATGACAAGATACAGCAAATGGGCTTGCGTTGAGTAAGGCAGGCATCCAGTTTAGCTTAGGAATGTACACATGTAGTTTACCTTGGTATAGAAGATTTGCTTTCACCCTCCATAACATACATTGTTTAAACTTTTCAACCCAGACTACAGTGGTTTGTCATCTCCCATCTGAAGAATAAACAAGGTCCAGCTTGCTTAATTTTTCTTAAGATCAGCCAATATTGGCTGGCCCTACCCTAAGGATTACTTAGCTCACAGCTTTCTTGCAGGTTACCTGAGGCTAGTCAGGCCTCCTAAGGAGCCCAACTCATTTCTCCTACTGTAAAAATTGCTATTTCCCTTAGGTTGGAGTCAAGACTCAAATCTAGAGCAGATTTAACCCCAAGTATGAATGGCAGGCAACAGTTTTGGGAATTCGCCCTTATAAAAGAAGTAGAGAAAGCAGGACCAAATTAAGCAATCTCAAGATTTGGATGAGTTTTACCTGAAGGCCTTGCTCTTGAAAATAGCACATAGACCTGCAGAAGTACAAGCATGCAGTTCATGAGACAGGCTGGTGTGTGGTGAAAGGTGCTAAGGAAAGGTGTCAAAGTGTTGGTAGGCATCTGTATACAGGTGGTGCTTCTCATGATCAGCTTCTCTAAAGAAGGGTCTGAGCCAGTGGTGTATTAACCATTAACCAGACTAAGCACGTGCTTAGGGCACTAGGCCCAAAGGGGGACCACAAAGTTGAGAAAGAAAGAAAAAACCAATGAAGGTTTATACAGTATGTATAAAGGAGGGGGGCACCAAGATTTGTCAATGCTTAAGGCACCAGCGAGCCTTAATCCACCACTGGTCTGAGCTACCGTACTTTTGAGTCTTAAGGGGTCAAAGGGCGTTGAAACAGAGGCGTTCACGTGTCACTCATGCCCACAAATATTTAGAACAGGGGGTATGTAAAGCGGCAAGGAGAATCGAAGCCCAGCAGCTTGCCAGGGGACCATCAAGCACGGGGGTCGTACAGAGAGGAAAGGCGGCCGGGCAGTTACCGCTAAAGAGATGGGCAGAGGGAGAGAAAGACAAAAGGCAAGGGGCTGGTTGGTGTCCTGCGCGCCTCCCCGCTTGTTGATATTCCGGGGGCATGCTCGGCTTGGTCGCGGCCGCCTTTGGCGGGCTTCTCATCGGGGAAATCCCTGGCTTTCCTTGAGGCCTGGCTTCGACCAACTCCCCGCCATCCAGCGCCCGTCCTTTTTCATCCGCTCTCGCCGAGGGTGGAAGGGGAAGGAGGGGTTAGCCTGCTTGTGTTCCCCCCCAACCTGATGTGGGGGGGCCGTGGGGACTGGGGGGGCGATGGCCTTGATTCAGCCGCTCTGGCTCGCGGCGCGGTTTTTTTTAATAGGCAGCCGCAGGCTCCGAAGGCGGCGAAGAAGGGGAGGTGGGGGGGGGCGCGAGAAAGAATAGAGCTTGCACCTGGCACTGCCAGTGGGAATCTTGCCCTTATCCCGGGCAACAGAGAGGAAAGAAACCAAATAAAAGCCACCCAGCGCACGAAGACAGCACACAGAGAAAAACGCACACGCAACCACGCCGCTAAGAGCCAAACGCTCGCCGGAGGCGGAACACCAAGCGAGCCTTTGCAACAATGGGAACAGAGTGAGAGGGAAGGTCGGGGCAGCGCCGCATCCTTACACTCTAAAACTCTCCCCATCCCACCACCCGAGAACACGAGGCCCTAGAATGCCCTTCGTTGAGAATCGCGGCTCCAACCTCCCCCCACCCCCGGGTTAGGCCTCGGCTCTGGGGCCCTTGAGACTGGAGACCAGCGGCCTCCGGGGCACCCAAGGTTGGGGGTGGGGGGAGGAGCAAATTCCAAACGCGCACACAGCTGAGTTTCATACGTTCTAATCAAACGCACGTTTTCTCCACTGAGCCGGGTGGCTTTGCTGATCTCGAGCCTAGGCTTCTTGAGATTTCTGTCAGCGAATATCTCTGACTCGGAAGTCGGACCTCAAGGATTTTTCCTCTAGGTCCCGGATCTCAGCCGGAACTTGGCAGTGCGAAGTGGCTCACTTCCAACAAGTAGGGCGCCGAGTGCCAGATTTGCTAGCTCCGTTTCACTCGATGGGAGATTGTGTTCTATGGGACAATCGAAGCGTTTCCCCCTGTGGGGCGATCGGAATCTATGAGTCGAAGTGTTTGAGAGTGCTTTGGGCGTCTCGCGTGGGGATTCCGTTGATTCGGATTAACAATCTGTGGGGCCCACGCACGCCCCTCTTCAACTCCCTTTCCCTCCCCTGCGCCTTCGGAGCTTCCTTTCAATGGTTACCGCGTAACACAGCGGGATTCAAAGGGGCGCGGGAAAAAGCACCGCCGACAGAACCGAGGCTCTGCGATGCCGGCGGCAGGTTAATTGAAGGCCTTATTGCCTTGGCAGAAGAGCCGCTTGGCCACCCGCTCCAGGCGGCGCAGAACCAGTCTTTCCTCTCCCCCTCCCACGCCCCTTGGGGTTAAGGCCATGCGAAGGGGGCGAGTCTGTTAGGAAGTAGGCGAAAGAAGAGCCGTCGCCGTCAGGCGCCTCCCTGGTCCTCTCTCTGGCAGGCCGGAGACGATCCAGGGAACTTTAGGCAAATGGCGCCGCCTGTCGCTTATTGCTGGAAAAGGGCCAGTTGCCCACTGAAAAGGTTCGCCCCCTTTCCTTCTCTACCAGCGCGGTCTTCGGAGGAAGTGTTATGGCAGACAAAATGTATTGCTTCCCTCGTTTTTATACTTCCTTGGCCTTAGTAATGCCTTAGTGCAGACTTTTCCGAATTTTCTGTGAGTTCCGAAAAATGAGGTGCTAATAATTAATGATCAACGGTTTGAAAGTGTTAGCTTAGCCTGCCTCTTTCACCTCCCCTGCCTTAAAATCGGAATAATTTTGCTGTAGGGGGATCCTGCAGGTGTGTTGAAAAGTGAACGTTGGAATGTTTTCAAGATTAAAAACCCAATTTGAAATT